TCCTTATTATTAATATTTAAGCCCTTTTGATTAAAGAAAATTTTAGAGCGATTTTTTTGTTAAAATAAATTTGTGCCAAATCCTTTCTATTAAAGTTTCCTAACGTCATTATTTAATGGGGCTTTTAGATCCAGGTCCAAAAAAGTAGAGTGTTTTTAGGAGTGAGTCTAGTTATCTAATTATATGTTTTTATTTCTTTCATACTCATTTTATATTTTCTAAAAATATTAAAAATCAATTAAAATCTTCTAATATTATGCATTTTCCAACTCCAAAATAATATATTTAATATCTTGTAAAACAACTAAAATAAATTTATCTGCAAAACATTCTACCCTAACTCAAGTAATTATAACAAATATATGAATGTATATAATATACCTACACGTGAGATATGAAACCTAATTAAAGGGTAGAAAAAACATAACATACCTACAAGTAAGACACATTAATATGTGACATGTTGATTATAAAAAAAGAATCTGTCATATAGGTAGATAAATATAATTAACCTGTAATATAGGTCGATTACAAAAATTAAAAATAAAATCTATAAATGGGGTTTAAAGTATGAGGAAGAACGAGAAATAACAAAAAGATAAATAAAAAGAAATAAGCAAAGAGATAATTGGGAAGAAATTTGATTTTTATAATAAATCTTATCATTGAACAGATAACTATTGATAATTAAATAATTAAATATAACAAATTGGACTTTTTTTAATAAACTGGACTATTCCTACTATTGGCTCAAAAAATTGGACTTATATCAAGTTTCCCCTTATTTAATTAATATGGTACGTGGCCAAAACCTCATAGATTTTACTGTCATTTATAAGGGAAGGGTAAAATCGCCTTTTCAGGTCCAAAAAACCCTTCAAAACCGTTTTATTTCTCCCGAAATTGCATCCCGGTCCTTTTTTTTGAACGAACGTATAAAGGGCGGGTAAGAGTCTAGGGTTTCACCAAGAAATAGAAAAGATGAGAACTTTAGTACGACTACTTGTTCGCCGGAGAAGACGAGCCAATTGAGAACGACGGCGATGCATTTCCAGCTCAAACCCTAAACCTAAGAATCGAACGAACGAAGCCCTAGCGCTGTTCAGCCTCTTCTCTTCTCTGCCATTGCCACCTCTCTTCTCCGTCTTCTTCCTCTGCGATTTTACGTCCACAACCCTAATTTTCCGATTGCAATTGGTACGAATCGGAAACGATTTAGCGATTTTTATTACTTTAATTTCTTGCAATTTATCTTTCTTTTTTTTTCTTTCAAGATAATCGGAGATTTGGCGGGAATGGAAATTCGTATGAACTGCGTTGAATCTAATGTGTTGAGTGTGTGATTGTTTTTGCGCAGAGTGTGAATTCGATGGAAAACCTTCACAGCAACTCGAAAATGGCGAAATTGGACACACGATTGCTCAGAGGGAACTTGGAGAATGTGGACGTCAACACGCCGTTGTTCAGGTACTTGTGCGCTCAGTCTCACTCTCCGTCACTTTCTCCGACGGACACCTTGAAGCAACGTCGCCGCCACCACTCGCTGCTTTCGCCTCTGGAGAATCTGATGCAGAGGTCGCCGCTCTCGCCTGTGGAGAATCTGATGCAAAGGTCGCCGCTCTCGCCTCTGGAGAATCTGATGCAGAGGCCGCCGCCTCCGACGGTTTACAGAACGCCGATAGGAGCGGTGGAGAGGGAGGAGGTTTTGGTGATGGACGGTGTTTTGGTCACCGGAGGAGGAGGGAGGAGTTCGAGGTCCGCATCATCTTCGGATTATTTGGGGAAGACTCCGTGCAAGACTGATCTTTACAGGTCCTGGGAGGATTCTCGAAGTTACACTTCCAAATATCAGGTCTCTCTCTCTCTCTCTCTTCTTGTTCATCGATTCTTTCTTAATATTTAATTGTTTATTTGCTAAGGAGGAATGTTTAATGCCTGGATTATTGTTTTAGCAGCATTATGATTGTTTCTTTAGAAGATTGGTGTGAAATTATTACTTTTTTTTGTTGTTGTTTTTTCGTTGTTTTCGAGTAAAAGATTTCTGTTTTTGGAATTGAAATTCGACAAATCTTGTATGCTGGTACTGTATCCATGCCACACCTCTTGCTTCTTCGCGTATTGATTTCGGTAGTTTCCTCAAACTCTCGCCTCCGTTTTTGTGCATGTACTTATTAACTGGTAGAATAAATCTAAGGCCTCATTCAGTCTCTAGGATTGGATTAGATTGAGAAACTCTAAATTCTTAGAAAAGCGATATTCGCTTGATTAATATGTTAGGACTAAAGCAGAAAATGTTGTTAATTGCTTCCTCGAAATAGGTAAACATACACGAAAAATATCTTCCAACATTAAAAATGCTTTGAGATTGCAGATAATGCTATGGTTAATCAAAATGATGGTCCATGCATTATGAACTTCCGTTGATGTTGGAAGGTGTGTACAAAAAAGAACTTAAATTTGACCATCTGTTATAAATATTGAAGTAGCAGATAGTTCCAAAGTGGAGGTTAAAGTCTGAGACTTGTTCGAAGATTTGTACTTGTCAAACTTAGCCGGTTTACTGTTCCACATTGACTGTTTGGATGAAGTTAAACTCTAAAGTTTACGTCTTTCTCATTGGATTATGCAAATGAACAAAGGTTCAGTTGGGGTTGAGTTGCAGTCTCGTTAAATGAGGAAGTACTGTAAGTTTTGCATTCTTGGTTCTGCCTTTATAGGCCATAGTCAATTCTAGTGTTCGAGTGTTTTCCTTGTACTCATATGAACGTTGCAGTAAAGTTATATTTCATTAAGTAGAGCTGTGTTGGTTGCTGTCGACATGACTACCTTTTTTCATCATACAGTCTTGGAATTAACTAATTGAACAAGTTTTTCGATAGTGAAAGGAAGCTGGTATCTTTGGCAGAAAAATGAAAGCTGTTAATTTCTACTTGGTTTTGTTTTGATTTGTTGGCTGGTGCTTTATTTGAGATGTTGGTTTTTTGTACTTTTAGTTATTGTTACAAATTGGTTTGTGTTGCGGTACTTTTGGTGATTTGTGTGTTTTAATATGTTGGCTCCTGCTGCTTGTATGTTTTATGATAATGGTATTTGGTGTTTCAAGATGATTTGTGCAGAAATTTCTTTCCCGATGGTGAGTATGTAACCAGAATACAATTTGCTGCAGATTTGTATTGATAAATTACCATTTTTATCTTTCAGTATGCTCATGGAAAAGAAAAGCAGCGTCCAACTCGTTGCCCTGTCAAGAACAAACCTGAGGTGAACAGCTGTGCAGTGCATTTTTAGCTGTTGGCTATTGATATAGCTCACCTACTGAAAATGCCATTGTTTCTTGTGTGTTGGTTTGTCCAGGCACATATGTGCAAGTCATACACTGCCACAAGTTATCCATGCCCACCCAGCCCCAAGTCCCGATTTATCCATCCCGTCATGCCATCTGCAGTTACACAAGCAGCAGGAGCCACAACACAAGCGGCCTCATTGACTACCCCCAAAAACACCATATCAATCCCTGCTACCCCCACCATCTGCCTGGACTGGTCACCCCAAGATGACGGCATTGAGATTGTATTGCCGCATTCATCAACTGGAACACCTCCATCAAGGGAAGATATAGATTCCTACATCAGCGGCGTTCTTTGTGGTCCCACTAAAGGAAGGAGATTACGAGTGTTTGCTGAGATTTATGCAGTGCAGTGAACTGATTGGTACGGAGAAGCTTCCACTTAAGACCGAAGGCATAACAATGTACATTCTTCCGATTTCTTCTTCTTTCAGTCTCAACTTTTTTCCGACTCGCTGCTCATATTGTAGTACGGAACAGGATTCGATCGAGCACGAATTCTTGTCAACGAAATACTTGTTGACGGGGCATTATCGATGCTGTTACCCCAGTACACTGTACAACAATGGATGATATATTAGCTATAAAAACTTCAAATTCCCAGTGTAATTACGCTTTGTGAAAACTAATTGGTTTTCTAGGCCATATTCGTTAAATGAGGTCTTCTGCCTGTATCTTCTTCGTGACTCTTGCCTTATTTTTTGGCACTGGTGGTAGGAAAATATTTCTGCTCACCGCGGTTTGAGATACGGTGACTGGTGAGCATTACTGCGACATTGATTGCCATTGGATGAAATTAAATTTGACATTTTATGCCCCAATAAATTAATTGACACTCATCTAATCGCACTCAGTGTGGTCATGCTCACCACCATACTACGATGGTGAGTCAAATCTCTACCGTCTACTTGCCAATTTGATGGGGAATACCAAGTATAATATTGTGCAGTCCAACTAAATGGACTCCACAACTTTGGCTCAAATCACCAAAGTTAACCTTGTCTAGAAATTCGAACAGTAGTCACTAAAACGATCATATTTTATTGTAGGAATATCAGATTGACATGATTCCAACACCACTGAAAATAAGACTTCTTTAGCTTTCCAGCCATATATGGTGTTCAATTTGGTTCCTCTAGATGAATAAATGACAGCCCACTAGTAATCATAAACCCTCACATTTCAGAGTATCCAAATTGTCAGATTTAGACATCGTTTTGATATCTCGAGATCTTACTTTGAATGTACAAAGACCATCTTTAAGATCTCAAAACTCCACTTTGATGCATTAATAGTATATTAGTACTTTCATATTAATTTTTGGTTATAATTATTATAAACTTAAAAAGTTTGTTATAATTCTATATAAGCTCCAAATTTCCCCTTGAAAATCCTTTGTTTGCATTTAGTCCAACAAAATAAGAAAATTACAAATAAACTACTATTAATGGATGAAAAATATACATAATCGGTAATAAAAATATTAGTTCGAACACTATAATTTAATGATATAATTTCTTCAAGAAATACCAAGAAGACTTTTTCAAAATAAAACTCTCAATAGACTTTTCGATATCTTATATTTTTTATACTTAATATTTTATAATGCTGTGTCGAAAATTAAGCTAAAAACATAAAACAAAAAGTAGTCGACACTTGAGAGACAGAAACAAGACAAAAACAAAATCATTTCGAGTAGAAAGAGATAACGTTTGAAACGTCCGACTCCGAGTTTCCATCTGAATAACCGTACGTACACTATCAACTGGCCGACGCCACTTCACTCTACCAGTAACAGAAGCAGCGGCGCAGCAATGTCGAGGGAGGAGGCGGAAACGGCGGAAAATGAAAATAATTGGGGGGTGGAGGAGGAGGAGGAGGAGCAGTGCCGTCTGTACGAAGCCTACAACGAACTCCACGGCCTTGCGCAGGCCTTCGACACTCCATTCGACGCTCCAGCGGTGCTTGTGGTGGGCCACCAGACCGACGGCAAGAGCGCCTTGGTGGAAGCACTCATGGGGTTCCAGTTTAACCACGTCGGCGGCGGCACCAAGACCCGCCGCCCCATCACCCTTCACATGAAGTACGATCCCCACGCCCATTCCCCCGTCTGCCGCCTCCTCCTCCCCTCGGATTCCAGTTCCGATTACGAAAAGCCTCTCTCGCTCCAAGAAATTCAAGCCTACATTGAAGCTGAGAACATGAGGTTGGAGACGGAGCCTTGTCTCTTCTCCTCCAAGGAGATCATAATTCGATTGGAGTACAAGTATTGCCCAAATCTTACCATTATCGACACTCCTGGACTAATCGCTCCTGCTCCTGGTCCAAAGAATCGAGCTTTACAGGTTTCCCATTGTCAATAATGTTTGAATTTCGAGTCGAAAACATGATGGTTTCATTGGTGACTGTATTCCAAATTTCGATAATGTTGCATCGTAAATTGTAATTGATGATGATGACAGGGCCAGGCTCGTGCTGTCGAAGCACTTGTACGAGCGAAAATGCAGCATAAAGAGTTTATAATTTTGTGTCTTGAAGATTGCAGTGACTGGAGTAATGCAACTACAAGAAGGGTTGTAATGCAGGTATTGCTTCTTTTGTTCTGTTTATGTATTGTGTTGTATTGATTCCGGTCAAGCTTTACCTTGGTCATTGTGTGCAGATTGATCCCGAGCTCTCAAGGACTGTGATTGTCTCAACAAAACTTGATACCAAAATACCCCAGTTTTCTCGTGCCTCGGACGTGGAAGTATTTCTCTCACCTCCCACTTGTATGCTCGATGGGTGTATCTTGGGTGATTCTCCCTTTTTCACTTCTGTGCCCTCTGGAAGAGTTGGTGTTGGCCAAGATTCGGTTTACAGATCTAATGACGAGTTCAAAAAGGTATTCATGCTCACCCTCTATTCATTTTCGGAGAGTTAAAAAAAAGAGAGGAAGGGTTGTGATGTTCATTCGGCAACCTAATTGATGGTTGCCAATATTCCGCTGCAGATTATTGTTTTTATCATTTAATGATACAAACATTAAGCTTTAAAGTAGATCAGTATTATTTAGTAACTGTATTTCATTGAGCGTGATAATTTAATCCACTGATCCTCAGAGCAACGTTTGAAGTCAGAGTTTGCTTCTTTATGGCTCTAAATGATGGCCGGTTTGCACCATTTTCTTATGCAGGCAATATCATTAAGAGAGATGGAAGATGTTGCAAGCTTGGAGGAGAAAATGGGCCGGTCACTGTCAATGCAAGAAAGAAATCGAATAGGTGTAAGCAAACTTAGGTTGTTTTTGGAAGAATTGCTACAGAAAAGGTTATTAATGCTTCGGTCCTTCCTATTCTGATAATAATAATGACAACTTGCTAAGTTCCATGGCTAAAAGTTTGGGAATCAAATTTTGCAAGGTATATGGATAATGTGCCACTAATCATTCCACTTCTTGAGAAGGAGCTCCGTAGCGCAACAAGAAAGATGAATGAAATAAATCAAGAACTCAGGTCCACAGTTTTAACTTACAAAGCACATTCCTTTAGGGCAGTATACAGACTGGATGAAATTTATGGCACTTTATTTGCTTAAACTTTGATCAGACCATTGACCAGGAAGGTTAAGCAAATTTTGTTTTCTCTGATATTATAAATGTTTTCTCATTGATTTCTTGTATATTGGTTGGTTATATTGTGTTATTTTTTTTATGCAGCACTTTGGATGAACCAAAACTAAAGGAGAAAGGAAGAATATTTCATGATCTGTTCTTGACAAAGGTTACTGTAGTTTAGACGTTGTCATTTTTGAGTAGTCATTTGTTATTGTTATTCATATCTTAGTATCTGAATCTTCTGTGGCTGGTGTATTGTACTTTATCTACGGGCAGTAGAATGGCCTCACGCAATTGTTCTAAAGGTTAGGACCACATTGAGATCTCCCTCTAAGTACATCGGTCAAAAGAAGATTAGGGTCTTCCTTTTATTTCCCTTCAAATTGTTGGGGCGGAAAAATTCATGTGACTATTCATAATGCTCAGCTGTGTTTGGTTTGTGCTTACAATAGAAGTCTCATAATTTTATGAAACCTTTTGTGTTATCGTTTATTTTTTTTCATTAGTTTGGCTGTTTTAGATTTTAGTTTTTCATTTGAAATTTTATGTTTTAAAAACTATTGTTTGGTTTTATGTGTGTTTTTACTGACAAAAGTTTGCTTTGTTCCTCAGTTATCATTGCTACTAAAAGGAACAGTTGTTGCACCTCCAGATAAATTTGGTAAATAATGTTAATCACAAACTATTTAAGCATATGGTTACTAAAGGTGAAACAGTACAGGATGAGAGGACTAGTGATGGGAATTTATTTCATGTTGTGTTGCTGGAGTCTTTGCTATTTTACTTTCATTTATATACCGTTCCTTTCTCAAGGTGAAACGCTACAAGATGAGAGGACTAATGGAGGGGCATTTGTTGGCAGTGATGGCCTTCAGTTCCCTTACAAGCTTATACCTGTAAGTTATAGAATTATCAGAGTGTAAATTTTCTTTTGCGTTTGCATGGCTTGTGGGAGAAACATTGCCACACTGAAATCTCTCTCTCTCTCCCTCTCTCTCTCTCCCCTCCCCCTGTTTTGTGGCTTGTTTTGTTTTTCTTTCTAAATGTAGGAGTCAGCCTGGCTTCTTGCTGTCCTTTCCAATATGAACACCAAACCGTGCGATGCTACCTTTTCTGTCTCTCTCGTAAACATCTAGGTTAAAGTTTCTACTAGGCTGAAAAATGTAGACTTGTTTCTTGTCTTCTGGACCCAAACTGACTTGATTTTTATAGAGTTTCATATACATGCATGTAAGCACTGTTTACCCATTTGTGCAGAATGCAGGAATGCGTCTATATGGGGGTGCACAATACCATCGTGCCATGGCTGAGTTCCGTTTTGTAGTTGGAGGTATAAAATGCCCTCCAATTACGAGGGAAGAAATTGTAAATTCATGTGGAGTGGAAGATTTACATGATGGAACAAACTACTCAAGGTATCTATGATTTTATTATATGTCATACTTGTGATTCTGATTTTTAAGCTGCAATATTTGTGGTCCAAATTTTTTCTTGAAGTTTTTGTTTTCCTTTCTAATACTAATCCCTTTTCCATTTCAAATTTACTTTTGATAAATCAGGACAGCTTGTGTAATAGCTGTTGCAAAGGCACGTGATACGTTTGAGCCTTTCCTTCATCAGGTGATGAATAATTTCTCTCAGTAATTTACTAATATCCCATTTTTCATTCCTTCCATATACACAAGGTTGTGTGTGCGATGTGCTGCTTCAAATTATACTTTTTTTGTGGTGAATCAGACTACATATTATTTCGCAAGTAAATATCTTGTTATGACCATCATGTTCTTAGCCATCTGTGAGAAAATTAATATTTGGTGAATCAGACTACATATTATTTCACAAGTAAATATCTTGTTATGACCATCATGTTCTTAGCCATCTGTGAGAAAATTAATATTTCTACTTATGCAGTTAGGTTGTAGGCTCTTGCACATTCTGAAGAGATTACTTCCTATATCAGTCTATCTTCTTCAGGTATGGACTACACCGTTGTGTAGGTTAGCGGTTTCCAAATCTTGTGTGCATATAAACTCCTCAAGTTCTATGCAGTTAATTCTTGCAATTTCTATCTTGCTTTCTACAGAAAGATGGTGAGTATTTAAGTGGCCATGAGGTGTTTCTGAGGCGTGTTGCTTCTGCTTTCAATGACTTTGCAGAATCTACCGAAAGGGCTTGTCGTGAAAAGTAAGCCACTTTGTTACTTATTTATATTACTATTTTAGTAAGTGAGTACCTGCTGTGTTTTTTTTTTAATTTTCATTTTTGATACATAAAAACAAACATGTCATAACTAAATCAAAGGAATAAAAATTTATCAGTTTACGACCATAGACAGAAGATTTTATGTTAATCTTCTAGTTTGCGTCAATAGTTATGGGGGGATCTATTGAAGCGCTGACTTCTCTAAATTTGTGTTAGCCACCACATGATCAATGTGTGCTAAAAGAATTAAATGTCTCAAATTATAGTTGCAAGGCATCCAACATGGTAGATTAACCAGTTAAATCAGCTACTAACATACAAGGAACAAATATTACGTTACCTAATCTTTTTATAGCAAATTCTAACTGTTCATCCAAACCATCTTTCAGAGGTCTCCGTTTAGTCATTAAAACAGTATGTTACACCAAATTTCCTGTTCTTTAGAATCACAAATGATAAAACGTATAAAATTTTCGGTAATATGTTTTACTGATTCATCAAAATTTATTCGGGAAATGTAGGGCCTTTTGAGAGGTTTCCAAATGGAATGCCACTCATTGATCCAAGAAATGCATACTGCCTCTCTTAAGAAAAACCTTTAGTCACTATGGAGCTAGGGAAATTTTAAGAGGAAAAAGTGCCCAAAAACAAACATCTCGACTCCCATTAAAATCTACCAAAAACCAGCTTCACCTAAAGATCTAATCTCAGTTCATGAAGGAAATGTCTTGCATTCATCCAACCTGCACGAGGAAACCAAGAAACAAATGTGGAAATTTAGGAGGAATACCCAATTACTGGTCTGCATGGATGCAATGAACCACACCTAACCGATTCCCCAGATGCTGCATTTTCTAAATTACATAAATTACAACTAGGTTGGAACTGATGAGCTAGAATTCTTGTACATGGCTAATGCTATCCGCTAAGGTTATTTTCAGTCAATCTTTCAAACTGGACACATAAAAACATTGTTCAGGTAATTAAATATGATATTCTTTCATTCAATGCAGCAGGAAAACATTAATGTGCAGTTTATTGGTTGATTATAGTTCAAGTGAAATTAAAAATTGATGCAATCCCCAAGAATGTGTATGTCTTGTATATCCCGCTCTTCTTCACCTGAACCATTTTCTGTTAAATGTGTTTTTGCTGCAGATGCATGGAGGATTTAGTAAGCACCACCCGTTATGTGACCTGGTCTCTTCACAACAAGGTAATTATAGTTGACTATGAAGGCATTCTTACATGTCTTATGCTGTAATTTCAAATTGGTGTGTTTACGAAATTTTGAATGAGTTTGATTGTGCAGTGATGAAATAGATTTAGAAGGAAGATGTAGCAGTGAAAACGGTTAACGAAGGCTCATTTCTAGTTGAACTACCTGGAAACGAGGAGATAACTTCTTTCTCACGTTCTGGCTGAGAAAAAGATAAAAAAAAAAAAAAAAACAGAAGATTACTGTTGTAGACCAACTTGGATAAATAGATTAACATCTGAAATACTAAAAGTCCGTGGGGATTTAAAAAAATTGTCTTTTATGCCATATAAACGCTAGGTATGATCTCAACCCCCTAAAATAACTTATCAGAAGGAAATGGACATAATATTCCAATTAATATGCTGTTAATATAGCTAATAACCCACATACGAATGCTTTATGTATATATTTTTTTTTATATTGTGGAACCTGAAAAGGGAGCATTCAAACCTTATTATTTCTACAGGATTCATTATATTGCATGATTTTCCCTATCAAATCTACTTGCTCTAATAATTTGATGTCATTTGATGCCTAATTAGTAGAATCGAGCTGGGTTACGTCAATTTTTAGACTCTTTCACTGGAACAGAACATGCCACGACAGGTGGTAGTGGTGCATCTGCTGGTCTTTCTCAAGATTCATCCTTTGGGTCAGTCACCAGTGAGAAGGATACAAAGTCACAGGGAGATGTGAAGCTCAGTCATGTGGCATCTGGCACGGATTTGACATCTTCTATTCATTCAACAGAAACAAGGCTGGCTGATCTTTTAGATAGTACACTTTGGAATAGGAGGCTTGCTCCTTCATCTGAAAGGATCGTTTATGCTTTGGTGCAGCAGATATTTCATGGCATAAAGGAATATTTCTTAGCCTCTGCAGAATTGAAGGTTTGTAATATAAACTGCTTCTTTCCAAATGTAACTGAGTAAGTGAAGTGGTAACTAGGATGCTATTTGGTCGATGTTTCAGGCGAAGTGAATAATGACTTGTTTCGTTAGTTTTAAATCAGACACACACACACACATATAAACACTATCAACCCTCTAATGGGACTTTTTGTTTTGTATAATAACTTGTGCCTTTGTTTTGCAGTTCAACTGCTTTCTTCTGATGCCTGTTGTAGATAAGTTGCCTGCACTGCTTAGAGAAGACTTAAAATCTGCTTTTGAGGATGACTTGGATAATATTTTTGATATCACCAATCTGAGACGCTCATTAGGCCAGCGAAAGCGAGATGCAGAAATTGAGATTAAAAGGGTATTTCAATTATGCCTTGTTTCTATTTCACTTATAACCTCTCAAATTTCTGTCTTTCTTACCCACTTCACGCGTGCTTGCACACATTTGCCTGACATACTGTTGAATTTGCAGATCAAGAGGCTCAATGATAAGTTCAGATCACTACATAAGCAGCTTAGTTCGATTCAAGCGATTACTGCCTTTTCCTGACTACCATTGATATCGGAGGTCAAATTCGTTGGATAAGTTCTTTTCTTTTTGATAGTTTGCTTATGATAATGACATGTGTGGTGGCTTAGAGAAGTTTATTGGAACAATCTTACATGTTTATCTGGACAAGAGGATTCTATTTCATTGCGTGGACCATGTTTTGTAAACTATAATTTCTCGTTTACACTTGAGTCATGCTTTCGTTGCTATCTAGGATGGATTGATGTCGACTTGTGTCATCTTCAATTCACATCACTTGTTTGTTAGTTTAAGTTGACAGCTATAATTTTTTCGATTTTTTTATTTTTTTTATTTTTTTTCGGAAGTTCATTGATATTGACATCGATTTTTTTTTTCTTTTCTAATTGGAGACATCGAAATTTTGTACTTGAACAGGCTTCAGAATTTTGAATTGGCAATGGCATCATCATACGTTTTTTCTACTATAGGAGAAGGATTTTGATTAATTTCCTATTTCTTATTAGATTTTAGAGTAAATTGTAGCAATGATCCCTTAACTTTAATCAAATTGGAGTAATGGTTTCTCAACTAAAAATCCATTATCATTGGTCCCTCAACTTATCAAAATGTGTAGCTATGATTCTTTTTGTCAAAATGAGTTATGTTGGAAGGATCATTGCTACAATTGGAGTCCCTCTACTTATCAAAGTGTGCAGCTATGGTCATTTTCGTCAACTTCGTTAGAATTTTGTCAAAATGAGTTATGTTGGAATGACCATTGCTATATTTGGGTCAAAGTTGAGGGACTATTGCTTCAATTGGGTTAAAGTTGAGGGATCATTTTTCCAGTTGGATTAAAGTTGAGGAACCAATGGTAATAGATTTTTAGTTAAGGGACCATAGCTGCACGTTTTGATGAGTTGAGGGATCAATAGTAATCAATTTTTAGTTGAGGGACTATTGCTTCAATTGAGTTGAAGTTAAGGGACTATTGCTACAATTTACTCTAGATTTTAAGATTTGCTCCCTTGTTTTTTTCAATATTAAATTTTTATAAACTCACTTCTTGTAACTACGTAGAAAATAAAAAATAGGGTAATTTTAGGAAGACCAAATTTTTAAAACCAAATTTGCAAACTAAATGATATGTTGTTGATGATTGAATGATTACTTAAGCATTAATCAACGTGCTTATTTTTTAAGGAAAACTAATGAAAAAGGCTTGAAAACTTTAAGTTTTAATCAAAATGACAAAAATGTGTTGTAAGTGAATAGTACCAAAAATGACTTTTTAGAGTAAAAATGTCATTTTTTGTTAAAGTGAACAGTATCATTTTTTGTTAAAGTGAACAGTACCAGGAGTGTTTCGTTCAAAACTCCTTTTTTTTTTTATTGGTAATACATTGTTTGGTTTGCAAAATTTGGTTTAAAAGTTTGGCTCTTTGGTTATGTAGCCGTTTTGGTCACATACCACAAGGCAAGTGGTTAAGTCATGGCGTTTCCAACGGGAATAAGATGATCTCAAAACTGCACCACCCTATTAGAAGCTGGCATCCAAATATCCTCAATAATAAATCTGAGCTTCCAAATTACTACACATCTTCTAAGAACAACTTCAATCACCATTTCAAGTATGTTTAGACATAATATTTTTTGATGAGCTAGTTTTAGTACATCTAAAAAATTACTAGTTCGAGTCTACTCTAGATGAGAGAGAGAGAGAGAGAGAGAGAGAGAGAGAGAGAGAGAGAGGAGAACATGTATAAAATAAAAGGAGGAAGAATCCATTAGGGTTAGCCCAATGATGAAGGCGGATAGAGTTATACGTGAAAGTAAGTTAGAGATAAAGAGCTGAAAACCATCATTCTTAACAAAAAAAAAAATCTGTAAAATTACTAATTCGAGTCTACTCCAGATGTGAGAGAGAGAGAGAGAGAGAGAGAGAGTATAAAATAAAAAGAGGAAGAATCCATTAGGGTTAGCCCAACGATGAAGGCGGATAAAGTTATACGTGAAAGTAAGTTAGAGATAAAGAGTTGAAAACCATCATTTTTAACAAAAAAAAAAAAAAAAAAAGCTACATGATAGAAATTAAAGAGAATGTATGAGATAAACTTGAAAAATAGAAACTCCCAAAGTAAAGAAAAAGTTTTGCGTTGACTCTGAAGACTCCGATTTGTGAATTTAGGGTTGGGGACATTGATGACTAGTGTTCTTTAATAGAAGCAAGGGAAAGCAAAAGCCACGAGTTAGTTAAAACACTTTTTAATAATTATTAATGATAATTATTGGTGTTTCGGCACACTCCAAAAGGAAGATGGCCCATCGAATTCGAACCTCAAATTGGTCCACGACCAAACCCACATTCGTGTGTGCCACGTGGATGAGGTGCATGATATCAGCATGAAGTGGGATGATGAAGACCCACAATATATTTTCCAAATTTTCTGATTTTATCAAATTCCAAATATACAACATGATTGAATATATAAACAAATAAAAATATTAGACTTTGCTCCTTATTTGTGAGGATGATTTTTTTTCAATGACAGTGTGACATATTTTACTGTATAAACGTTATAATCAGAATTATCTATTCTCTTCAACCATCTAAAGATCATTTCAAGAAAATTCGTTCAATTCATATATCTCTGATTCTTCTATGTGTCCAACAAATTGGCGTAACGTACAAGTAACATCTTTATACTGAAACGTAAATTTATTTTGATTCTTATAAATGATTAAAATTTTCTAATCGAATAATTTTTCCTAAAAAATGAATAGTTTCAATTATAATATTTGTTTGATACAATGATATTACATTGTCATTGAAAGAAGAATGACTCCTACATAAGTTAGTGTCCAAAAGAAGTGTATATGGCACATCCACTTACTCTTACAATCAAGTATTTTTGGTTTTTTCATTTTATTTTTTGTGGGGGGTGTTGCACGCAGACATGTCCCTCCAAACCCCCAATCCATTCGTTGGCCGCCGCCTTGCATATCATCAATCAAAGCACCTTTATCATCAATCAAACCATCAACTCAACTCTCATTTCTGATGAAAACCCACCTTCTTTTTCACGTCACGTCACTCGCTCACTCACTCACTTCTCTTTTATATTTATTTTTTTATCTTTTTTCTCTCTTCATCTCGATCTATTATTGCTTTCTTTATGGCTAGCTATAAGTATCACCTTCAGCTAAGACTTCGTTTACAAGAATTATATATCCATAGCTTAGATACTGTATCACATAACTTCGTCGTCTTCTTCTTCTTCTCTCTTCTTCTTGTTATTGTTTGATATTTGATCCTAATGGGAGATAACCAGTTTAAGCTCCCTCCTGGTTTTCGATTTGACCCGACGGACGAAGAACTTGTAGTCCATTTCCTTCAACGTAAGGCGACTCTCTTACCTTTCCATCCCGATGTCATTCCCGATCTCCATCTCTACCCATATGATCCGTGGGAACTAAATGGTATGCTTGTTTTTTGTACCATGCATAGTAATGAATAATTGAATATATATAGGTGACAATGAATAGTTGATGTACATACAACTAGCACACATTACATGACTCTCTTGCCAAACTTGTATACATACGTTGCCACGCAAGTATCCGATTGATTCACGTACATATTCAGACTAGCAATATAATTAGTGAATATTGTCAAATTTTCTGGTAAGAGAACAATTTTTGTACATTAATTAATGAGTTTTTTCACTGTATATATGCACATATAGGTAAGGCTTTGAGCGAGGGCAAGCAGTGGTATTTCTACAGCAGGAGGGCACAGAATCGGGTCACGAGTAATGGGTACTGGAAAACATTAGGCATTGAAGAACCTATCTTTTCAAGCTCATCTTCTAATTCAACTAGCAAAGTTGGGATGAAAAGATATTTGACGTTTTATGTTGGAGAAGCTCCAAATTCAGGCATCAAAACTAATTGGATAATGCATGAGTATCGTCTATCTTCGTCAGCCTCAGATTGTGCTTCTTCTTCCACCACCACCAGATCTTCCAAAAGAAGAGGGCAACCCAAAACAGTTAGTAATGCATGCGTGGCAACTCACGTACTATATTACGTCAAGAAGCAAAATAATTATATCATTTTGCGTACATATGAAAAAAAAAATTGTATTTTCGGTTATTCTTATTTCTATATATTTTTTTCTTTCTAGGAATACAGTGGATATGTTCTATGTCGAGTCTACGAGCGTGATGAAGAGGAGGATGATGATGATGATGGGACAGAGCTTTCATGCTTGGACGAAGTGTTCTTATCTTTGGACGATCTTGATGAAATAAGTTTGCCAAATTAATCATAATTAGAGTAATTAAGAGAACTCATCAAGAGAGAAACTAGAGAAGAGAGAGGGACCTAACTAGTGCTCCATTATTACTGATGAGCTTTATCCAATTGTATAATTTCATTACTTCAAGTTGTAGCTAGATTAACGTTGTAAACAATCTCCATAAGTTACACTCCGAGTGGGTAGACTTATATGTCGCGTTGCAAACTGAAGCAAAAAAATTGTACGGAAGTTTAGAGTTTCGCCCCCTCACTGTTCAATACATTGAATTTACCTTCATACATTCCTAAACAATGCTAATTAAACACACAACGACTGTTCTAAATATCCCCGTCTAACGCCGTTTAGGCGCCAGGCCTTAGTTCGCCGGCCAACTAGCGCCTAATATTTTTTAAAACTTTGCACACAACAAATTTCATATCTAACATATTTTTAATAGAAATGGACCATATTATTGATTGTAGAACTCAAAGATATTAGAAAGTATGTCAACAATGAGATCGATCTGTTTTACTATTTTTCCAACACTGGCAGTCACATAGGGAGGAGTAAGCAATCCTACACGTTTTACATATTTTGATCTATTCTCTTAAAGTAACCATATTCTTCTCGATGTGAAGTGGCATGCAGCCGCTTAAGCATTATTTGACCATGAATATATGCGAATCCCACAATGAAGACCACATTCACTCATGGTCAGAAAATTTCAAGGCAAATACAGAACGGATACATATGTTTTGTGTCTTTGTTTTGTCTTCGTATCAGTGTTTGTCTTTGTTTTGTGTCTTTAGATATGAATCTCACAGTGAAAGCCTCATGTAGCAGTGTTTGTCTTTGTTTTGTGTCTGGACCTACTCAACCTTGTTTACTCAAGGCAAATACATAATAGATACATTTGTTTGTAACCAAAATTTGGCATAATAAGTTGTGTAATATTAAGTTATTTTGCAATAGTCCACGACTACTGAGTAGTTTAGATAATGAACGGTAGAGATTAACTTTAAAAAAATTAAACTATAAAAATTGTTTAAAAGATCGGACTACTTAATAGGCTGAACTTTTGAAGACAAACCTGATATAACGAATATCAAGAGGAGTTGACTTGTGCTTAATTACACGCTGCATCGAGATTTTTGGGTAGTGTTGGTCCTCGATCGATCGTCCTTTAGTGGGACTTGGAATGCTCACTTGTAGAAATTATTGTGAGGAGGAGAGACGTGAGGGAGGGAAGTGGAGCCCAGGGAGCACTGTAATGTAATGTGTAAGTTTGCAGCCAAAGGGCCATTGAGCATACCTCAAAACTTTCCTCTATCTTTTTCTGCTTTATAGCATTTGGGTAATATTTTGCACAATCCCAAGCAACAATTGAGTTTTCGGGTGGCTGCTTAGGGGAGCATGACACATGCATGATGCAAATATTCCATGCTTAGGAGTGATGCACACTTTGTTGGTAAATAATTTCGATCTCATATATTAGGACATACAAAATTGATACACTGATTGATGTATTCTTTAATAAAAGTGAGGTTCACATATAATAGTATGATCTACTTGTATTAAAAATTATTAGCATACGTATTAATTTTGTGTGTCAAATTAACCAGGTATCAATTGTAAGTAAAGATTTCAAGGAAATTAAATATACTCGTAAACTAAATTGATTAACATATATTAATACAAATGAATTTTCTAGTAATATATATGTATATGATAATGAAAAAGTTAGATAGAAAAGGCTTTTTCTCTTTTACATTCATATTCTAAAATATTCTTGATCATAGGATTATCATCAATAAGAATTGACAATCTTCGAAAATCAGTACATATTATGCCTTCATATTTTAGAGAATGATTAGTCTCGAGTTAAATTGGTGTAAATTAGCTAAGATAAGTATGTTATTTATAATGGAGGATGATTCTCTCCCCTTCCCTTCCCTCCTACTTGAACAGTTCTGGTTAAACCATGTTAACATCTTATATTGATTTTTTTATAGAGCCAATAAGACTAAAAGTAATGTGTGAGAGGAGAGGATGGAAGGGGATGAGAATAGGAGGGGGAGAGAATCCTACTCCATTTTTAATAAAGTAAGTCTAGTAAACTCTATTAGACAAAATTTTCTTATATTCATGTTTTACTTACTTGTCGAATAAGAAACTCAAAAGTTGTAATAATATAGTTTTTAGACCTGTGGCATCTTATTTGTCTTATGAATACGTCATAATTGTACACTGATTAACTTGAGTTTTGGAAGGAAACAAAAAATGAACAAAGTAATTGAGGATGTAACTTGGGATCAAGAGATTTAATATCACATGAATTAATAATAAGTTAATCAATTAAGCGAGAAAAAGATTGGGGTTTTTTTGGGGGGGTGGGGGGCGGAGTTCTGTATAGGAATGAAAAATTTTAATTGAAGGACAGGAACAGAGATACAAAATATAAAGATTGTCATTTCATAAGCATCGACATTTTTACCAGTTTTGCTACAAAAAAACAATAATTATTATGACTTAAAACTGCAATTGTGAGATTTTTCTTTGAAGATAAATTCTTTTAACAACACTCTATACATACAAAATGGTGAATTAACTATGGAGTACTCAACCAAAAGCACACAAATTTAACAACACTCTATACATACAAAGTAATGAATTAACCATGGAGTACTCAACCAAAAGCACACAAACTGAAGTTAAATCTAACAAATACAAGCAAAAGCTTACAAAATAAAGAAAATGCAAGAAAGGTCCAGGCCTATCAGGTCCTCATGTGGCTTCACCACTGTATGTTAGTGCAAAATTGACAATTCATGACAAAATGCCTAAGCCTGTAATAGCTTAGATTTGTTATATATTTTCAATTGTAATTGTTTAAGTCTAAGGATGTCTCTCACACTTTCAATCGCAAGGATGTTACATAAACAAGATACTTATTCAGGTACGTTTGCACGCACGCATCCAACTACATTCATTAGATATCCCATGTTACTGTATTTGGGATAAGACTCTTACCCATCATGTGTTTTATCTCTTTAAGATGAGTTATCCTTTCTACATTTATTATTAAAACACATCTTTTGTTGGTGGGATTTATCTGATTGCATGCTTTCAAAATAAACTTATTGTTTATCTGGATGTTGAAAAGGTTTTGCCGTTCGGTGATTTTTGTCTATAAATTAGAAGTCAGGTCTTTGGAGAAAGGGTGCATGAACATTGGTTTTTTTTTTTTTTTTTTTTTAACAAAAGAATCAAAAAGTAGCAGCTTTGTATTTTGACCAAGAAAAATAATTTTTATACTACTGCTATCTTATGTTTTCGACATCATGTGTTTTTAAGAGAAAATATTATTTTTCATGCTGCTTTCATTTGAGTTTTTAATTGAATGTCAATTATGAAAATGTACCTTGTGATTTTCATAATTGATTGTTTTTCAACAAACACTTCATCATATATACATTATGCATGATCGAGTTAGTATCTTGCAAAGTTCGAGGGAAAAGTGATTGACGACCGCATTAGTATCGTGCCACTTCAACTTGAAGGCTGAAGAAAAATCGAGTAGCAAAGCCCGAAGACAAAGCTGCCAGCTAGTATGGGTGTCTAGTTGATGAGTTTTTGTAAGTCTTTATGTACTAGTGCTTCCTGGCTTGGTAGCCCGATGATTTTCCCAGTGATGAGTTTTGCCTCGTTAAATCCTACATCATATGCGCACTCTTTATATTTATGCTGAATATTTGTGCAGAATTTAGTTTGCATAACTAGTTAATTTAAATGATAATTTGAATTAGTTTTAAGTTGGAGAGAGCTTATACCAAGTTAGTACTCATCCTAGGAGTGTCACTGCATTCGAACACAGTTGAGAGAGCTTATACCAAGTTTATCAAGCTCCTTCACAAGTTGAAAGAAGGCATCAAAGGAGCTTTGAACTAGATTCCGCGAATTTTTCCCATTTAGTAGGGCTTTAACTTGTTAAATAAATAATCATGTACTCCTCGTAAGATTGAAATTGGTCTAAAGATATTAACTAATTTCTCAACAGTTTCGTCTCTCGTCGTAGTTTGTGTTCATCCACGTTTTAAGTTGAAAAATTCCGGACATAGTAGATCAATTCGAAAAAGGAAAATTTTGCCAAAGACCCCCCGGATCCCCATCATACTGTTGGTGTATGATTGAATAAATAAATCTACTCAATATTTATGTTTATCAGTACTTCTTATAGAAGGCAAGAAACTCTTATCCACTAAAACCTTCGAGTTTGACAATTTCAGTCCCTAGTTGACAAAACTCAACCAGCAACAATCAACCGTTGAATCTGTTTAATTGGGTAGGGTATGGTCCTTATAGGTCGGAATGAGATCCCCTCTAAATTTTAGTGCTCGAAGCCTGCGAATCGAGATATTTGGACCATTAAAAAAAAAAAAAAAGAGATCGAGGCTATTTAAATTTTTGAGTTTTTGTAAAGTGAATCAGTGAGATAAGCTAATAGGGGTTGTATGATTGAAATTGAATGATCTAGATCTCTCGGTTCGCATCTCCAAACACAGTTCTGAAGTAGATCTCAATCCCTGTCCTCAAACTTTCAGGCAATTTTTCTTTCAGGTAGCTGATCACCGTTGAATCTCTCGGCCCCTATCGTTTTCGTTACTGAGAATTTTTTTTTTTTTGGTTCCCAGGGATTTTTTGAATGTAAATCGAGAATATTTGTGGAAATTGAGAGAAAAATAGGAGAAGAAAATTTAGAAGATCCAGCTGCTTTTTCAACACCACCTTTGACGCACCAATCATTTCTTGGTCCCAAGACCGTTTAAATGGTAAAATTGCCATGACAGGCTAAGAATGTCCTTTGACCCCCCAACAAAAGACAGGTAAATAAAAACTATGTTTATAAACTCAAGCAGTAGTAACAATAAACTGGCAATCATCATGTGACACGTGGCTCTTTCACTGCCATTGAATTTCCACATTTTGATGCAACAATATCGCACAAGAATGCATGGTTACATTGAAAGGCGTAAAAACTTAGCTTTTGAGCAGTAAGGGAGGAAATAGGGACCGAGAAAGGAGAAGAACAAAGAAAACAAAAAACAAACAACAAAAGAGGAGAAGAGAGGACAATCTTCTCTTCTTTTCTTAATTTTTATCAAATAATTTTGCTTTTCCTCGATCTTTTTAATACTGCAAATAAGGTTCTTTTGATTTGTGACACCTACTGCTAGGTGTGTATACATAGAAAAATATATAGAATATTCATGGCTTCAAGCAAATTTAGAAGAGCTTTG